CAGTAGTAGTGGATGTGGTTCCTGTAGATGTGACAAGTCATAACGCTAATTTAAATAGTATGTTCGAGCCCAGAAAAAGCAAGTGAAAGTAAATCAGATCTTTCGGTATCAAATTGACCCCATAAGACAACATATTCAGAAGAGAAGGGTCTGTCGTGACATTTGGAGTGACAATTAGGACTATGCGAACTAGATATCTGAGTATTTCTCTACTAGGGACGCATACAAAGGAAAAAATGTTACTCTGTTATCGGTTCTGGGAGCAAACAAAATAAGTAGACGAGATGACCAGACGATGTGGCTGACGGTGAAGACCAGGCGAACAGCTACGAAACTGAGGAGTAAGTGCGAAAACCATTGAAACCAAGCTAGATAGAGAAAAGTAGATTCGACAGCGATGTTGTTGTACTTTGGACATGAAAAAGAAAGTGCTTCGCACATATAGAGAGTTGCATTGATGATATGGACTGCAAGAAAGGAACGAGAATGGCGAGAGATTTTCAGATTTATATGCCCTCAACAAGATAGTGATAGGCGACACCATACTCTCCCACGAATACTTACACGAAGCTATGTGAGTCTCACTGGATCACAGTATAGAGAACCAAATTAATCATACTTGTATCACTAAAAAATTCGGAAGATTCATAGAAGACGTGAGAACCAAGGGAGGAGATAGCATAGCTTCAGATCAACGCCTCGTGGTTGCCAACATGAAACTGAAGCTAAGGAAGCAATGGACAACTGGAGGAAAAGCATTACAAAGGTTCAATACAGCCTTCCTTTGAAATGCTGACCGACTCAACGAATTCAAGACAGTTCTCAACAACAGGTTTCAAGCATTACAAAATCTGTTCAAAGAGCGAACTACTATGGAAAACAATTAGAAAGACATTAAAGAAGCAATAACATTAACATGTCAGGAAGTAGTGGGCCTCAAAGAGCACCATCGTAAGAGACTGATCTATTATGATAATTAGTAGTATTTGAATTGTAGTATAAACTAGTAATCCCAGGAATAACGCAATTTAATCAAGAAGTATCAGATGAGCCCGAACGAATGTATTGTGTTTGGAATTCAAAATTACAACAGTCATCAATACTAAGAAGTCATTGATTTATTTAAACACCACAACCGCCACAGCTCGAATTGGAGTGTAAGTGTCTGTAATCGATTGTTCGTCTTCTTCTTAAGTTCATCTTACATGTGTCCGATGATGTATTGGATGTACACTCTGTATTATCTAGAATGCACTCATTAGTATTAGAATTAACAACCAAAATTGGAACAGACTTACCTGGGTTCTGGAATTGTATACAATCAGCATGCCGGCTTTGTAGTGAAACCATTGATATTTAGAATTTGCATCATGGACTTTCCAACAATATCCTCCCCCACGAAATAATGTTGGGTCCTTATGTCGCAATGTTTTAGCCAATATAACATTTCCAATTTGCAGTATCTTCTCAAATCTCACGCATCGACTACTGTATATGAGTATTTGGGAATAAACACTGATATATAATTCGAGGTATTCCATCATGTGACTTTGATTTGAATAAAAATCATGATACATATACTTTTTGTTATTCATATTAGAATATACAGATGGATATGCATTGATATATGTAATTAACACATGTGATTCAATTAGGCTTGATTTACCTGCGAAACAATCGAATAGAAAACATTCATCTGACTCATATTCATTAGGATAATCTTGGATTTGATTTGGATTTTCTGTCTGTGCAAGCTTCACTTCTGGGCAAGCTGGTTCTCTGATTATTTCGGTAAATTTTGCTATCCCCTCTGATTCATCATACCCCTGACTAGGGATTCTATTCGACATACACTGTTCGTGAGAGTATCCAACATATGACACAATAACATCAGAAATATGACTAGAATTCAACTCATAAGAAACATATTTGTCACATTCATGAGGAATATCATTAGAGATAAATTCATTATGAGGACCACTGACACTTGATATGATATCAGAATTCGATTCTTCTGAAATATTTTCCTCAAATTGATTAAGAGTTTCATTAGGTAATGGATCATCAGGGAATTCAGCATCTACCATGACTGAATCTGGTTTTTGATCATGATTTGACTCATTTAACATTCTATTCTCAGAGTTGTAAGAAATTCCATCAGAAGTATGTGAATTATTACGACAAACCATATCTGGTTCAATATCATGAGAAATCCGATAAGTTTGTTGGTTAAAATTTTTTGTCTCACAATGATTCTGAGTTTCAGTTAATTCTGGACTGCTATGTGACGTTATACCACTTCTAAATAAGGATAACTGATCATTAGAAGCATCCATCTTAGCATTACTTTCAGCGAAATGAACCATGGTATTACAAACTGACTGAATATGTCCAGTTATGCCACATTTAAAGCATTTAGAATTACGAAATATACATGAATTACATTGGTGAAACTTGCCACAGAACATGCATTTACTAAACTCGTGCTCATCATCATGGACTGTTTCACAACTCAATGAAGTATTGTCTGAATAACTTTCATTATGCATCGAACTACGACGACTGTTTGAATAAGTGGAATTCCTGATGTTCTGACGAGTCATTTTATCGGATTTTCCTTTCTTACCGCATTCGGAATTTGTATACTTTACATGATCCAACAGTAGTTGCTTAAGAGTTGCATAGGGGGGTGAAATCGGTTTGTCTGGAAATGCCAAAATCTTTATAAGGCTGTATGCTTCTTTCCCAATGAATGTAAGGAAATGGGCCACAATATTAAAATCCTCATCATCTTCCTTGGTCATAGCCCAGATTTCGAACCTTTCCATGTACTCCTCAAAAGCATTAAAATCTGAATTTATATTTAACCGTTCCATCACAGGCTCAGTCGCGACGCCAATATGATAATTAGTAGTATTTGAATTGTAGTATAAACTAGTAATCCCAGGAATAACGCAATTTAATCAAGAAGTATCAGATGAGCCCGAACGAATGTATTGTGTTTGGAATTCAAAATTACAACAGTCATCAATACTAAGAAGTCATTGATTTATTTAAACACCACATCTCTATCGAAAGACTGGACACGACTACAGAAAAGGAAGAACACGAAGACAACAATTAGCAACAGCCGAACAAGAAGAAAGTCAAGCAACAAGCTGAATACACAGAAGCAAACTAGGGAGTGAGGAAAAGCACTAAAACCAACAAGCAGAAGTACGTGGAAGACCTGGCAATGACAGTGGGAAAATGCTGAAGGAGAAGAAAATTTGAGATAAATGTATGACTCGACGAAGAAACTGGTAAGCAACTATGCTAAGCCAGAAAAACCGGTCAAAGGCAAAGAAGGCAAGCCAATCGACGAGATTCAAGAACAGACGAACTGATGGAACAAACACTTTGAAGACCTCCGAAGTAGGCCAGCTTCATTGAAACAACCACATATCGAAGTAGCATGCACAGACCTTCATATACATGTCAATCCAACAACAAACAAAGTAATCAGAATGTCTATCAGACAAATCAACAGTGAGAAAGCAGCACGACTTGACAACACACCATCTGTAGTACTGAAGTTAGACATAAGGTTGACTGCAAAGATGCTCCACATTCTCTACAGAAAGAACTGGGAAGAAGAACAAGTGCCACAAACAGATCGGAAAGAAGCATACCTTATCAAGATACCATAGAAGAAAGATCTTAGCAAATGTGAGAAATACACAGGCATCACACTACTATCGGTGCCAGCAAACGTTTTCAACAGTGTTGTTTAACTGGATGAGATATTCAATAGATGCCTAACTATGGGATCAACAGAATGGATCGCGTAAGGATCAATCTTGCACACACCAAATCGCTACACTAAAGATCATCATTGAGCTCACATTTGAATAGATTTCATCACCGTACATCAGCTTCATTGACTGTGACAAAGCATTCGACAGTATGGATAGCAGAAAACTGTGGAACATTCTTTGACACTATGGAGTGAGTAGCCAAGAACGTCATCAACATCATCCGCAATTCATACAACGGACTACACTGCGAAGATGTGCATGGAAGATAGTTCACAGATGCATTGCAAGTGATGACCGGTGTTAGATAAGACTGCTTACTCTCCCCCTTTATTTTCCGGTGATCGACTGGATTATGGAGACCCCTACATTTGAGGAGAAGCATGGAATACAATGGACAGTTTGGATACAGCTAGATCATCTTAACTTCACAGATCACCTACCTCTTCTATTCCATGCACACCAACAAACTCAGGTTAAGACAACTAGTGTAGCAGCAGCCTCTCCAGCAGTAGGCCTAAACATACACAAGGCAAAATGCAACATGCTCAAATACAACACAGATAACACTAATCCAGTCACATTTTATGGAGGAACTCTGGATGGGGTGGAAACCTTCACTTATCTACCTGGACAGCACCATCAATGGACAAGGAGGATCAGATGCAGATGTAAAGGCATGGAATACAATAGACAGTTTGGATACAGCTAGATCATCTTAACTTCACAGATCACCTACCTCTTCTATTCCATACACACCAGCAAATTCAGGTGAAGACAGTCGTTACGGTGTTCTACGCTGCAATAGGTCACAACATACATAAGAGATAAAGCAAGATCTTGAATCATCCTGAGATAAGATTTTGCCGTATTGCGAAACGTGATGAAGGCAGTTAGTAGGGTATGTGGTTAAATTTGTGAAGTTATTATTAGTATGTTTGTGAACAGATATTTAATATCTTACAAACTCCCGGGAGGTGTTATCTTAGCAGGTGCATGGATTGGCAAACTAACAACAACATCCCTACAATTGGGGGAACTTATTGAACCCAAAATAACTGTCTTCCAACCAAAAATAGTAGACTTAAAAACGAGTAGATACGAATTGGACATGTGCGTATTTTAAATATTTCGTTACGTTTTGGCATTGTACTGAAAACTATGTCCTCGTATCCTTATAATTCAACCAGTGAGGTGCGTCAAAAAATGACAGGCCTTCGACGTCAGCTTAGCCATCCGCACCTAAATAAATTCAAAGAAGCTAAAAAGGAACTAGCTTCTATATACGAAGACATTTTAAGTTATGTTTCCGAAAGTCACAAATTTACTCGAGAACAAAGCGAAGGTAATTCATGTACCTAACTTGACCAAATATTACTTACAGAAGATAGGTTCGCCAAACTTATCGGACAGGGAGTTCATGCTGAAGTTGAACATCATTTACAGAAAATCCGCAATATTCAGGAAATTATTGCTCGTAATCAAATGAAATGTGCTTTTTTTGGGAGGTAAGGTATTCGTAGTGTTATTGGACATTCCATTGCAAACTAGACAAGTTCTAGACATGTGACATTGACAGGTCACAATGACGCTGTAAAGTGACATCTATTGATCGCCTGAGGGCTTATGGACCAAATTTGCTAGAAAGCAGACAGCTAAACGCAAGGTTGATTTGTAAATCACGGGAAATTGCATGGTCATACGTGCTATGTGTTCTTTAATTCCTATTTTTACTGTGATCGAATAACTCGAGTATCAAGTTTCTCATAAATGGTTCTCTATATGCTCATTTTGTTAACTAACGTTGAATGAGTTCACGCCGGATGTTATTTTGACGTTCGTGACCTCCTCCTCTTCCTAAGAGAATTTAATGTCAGTCACTTTCGTTCTCTTTTCGACACTAACTATTAGACAGTAAACTTTGTAGCAGAACTAAGGGCGAGAGTGCTGAACCTCACTTTTGTTGCCTACGTATTTATTGTAGATTTTGAGAAGTTTCATCTTGTTTACAATGTTTGTTTCCCTTAATGCCTTTTTGTATTAAATAGTTTCGGAATCATAAATAGGTCGTCAAAACAAAAGCTGACAAATTTCTTATGATCGATTACATATATTTTATTTTATTTTCCCGTACTAAAGGTTCCGGTAGGATTAAACTATACTGCCGAGCCAACCAGAAGCTTTCGCGGGTTTTCAAGGTCACGGTGCTAAGTTCGGTACCTGATGCTTACGTACGGTCGGTTTACAGGGGATTTTAGGGAAGACGTGATAATTTAGCGTCCACAATAGAAGGGATCATAAGACTTTGGCTCAAAATTCAATTATCCATTTGGATAAATAGAGTTTTGGCATTATAGCTGATGTCAGTTCGTGATGAAAACCCTAAGTATAATTCCTAGCCTTAATCATGAACTGTAAATCATAATTTGAATTCTTCACACAAGTTTATAACCCTCATTTAGTCTTAGTTATTATGTTGACACTCTCAGAGTCACTCTAGCGTCGCTCAAAGGTTGTCTCACCCATAACCCTAAACCCTACACGTAAACCTTAACTCTAACCCTAACCCGTAAACCATACTAATATACTAACATTATTGAAGCTATGTGGTCGAGGCTAAAAGAATTTTTGAGACCTTATCATGGTTTCAGAGGTCGACTACTATGGAGCCATATGGATGTGTTCCTGTACCGTATGCACTATGATTTTAGAACTTCTGAACCCATATCTGACCTTGAGAAGTTTTTGACCCATGTAAAAGAAGTGTTTCCACTTTAATTCTTTGGTTTTGCATAATATATTTTTACTGTATACTAACTGTCTTCTGAGTGGCTAATATTTCTCAAGGTCATTTAAGATTCGTTCAAAGGTCGGCAGTATAGTTTAATCCTACCAAGGTTCCGTAAATACTGTCTTACATCCGATGAAATTCCACCCAAATTATTAAGTCAACGTACTCATATACCACCTCTACTAAACGTTCAGATGTCTAGGATTGGTAATGAGATTTTTTCAAAGGAATGACTTATCCCAGCTTGTTATTTGAATAGAGCGGGTACGGTTTACTGCACTTTTAAGCAACCAAGCCCCAGTTAACGATTTACAATCGTGCCTCATACTCTCGTTTGTAAAGTCTAATGGTTTATCTACCAATCATGTAAATGAAATTTCAAGACATTGGCGATACGCACCAAAAATCCCCCACACAGTAAATATTATTGAGTGAAAATTGTAAGAATAGCAATAGAAATGTAGACAAAGAAGGCTTCGTCTAACCAAAACATACATTTTTATGCGTGATGACCTTGATTAGTGGTTGAAAAGTTGAGTTGACATGGTCCAAAGTCGTTCGCAATGGCACAAATACATTTCCTCTATTATCCTTTTTCTGTTGAATTCCAGAATTTATTCATGCTTACTTTTCCACTATCTTTTCGAACCATGTTAATGTTTAGTTTCTCTATCAATTGGTACTAGATTATCTTAATCTCCTTTGTTATTCCTCTTGTGTTACATGTAGCTAAACTTTGCAAGGATCAAAGTTTCTACTTGTAAGTTGGCATGTCATGCTTGTTGAAGGATACAGTACTAAAAGCTGGGTTCAAATAAGCTTGATATTTTAAAATTTATGCTGACACATTCGAAATCCCCCAAGTTGAGTGTAATCAGTAATAGCGATTTTATTTATTTATTGAACTCGCTTTATTAAAGATGCTATTGATTAAAAAACCTCTGGTAGCTGATTTAGGTGATACTCCGACAGTGTTTCTTGTATTCGCTTTCCTAAGTCGGTCCTTCGTTTTTTCGTTTTCTGCCCTGGTCCAAATGGTTAGATTAATTATCTTGTTCATATTGCACTGTATATCTGTTCTTTTCGACGATACTTGTATGTAGGGATCAGCAACAAGCAAAACACCTGCTTAAACTTTTCAACAACGCTCCTGATAATATCCAGTTTACCATGGAGTATGAAAACGATGATAAGTTCCGCCTTCTCGTCAGAACAGAGGAAGGGTGGCACAACTCAACGTTCAGTTTATCGGAATTGAGCATGGAATAGAGTTCATCTGGATTTTAAGTGTCCAATTAATTACAAACTTTATTTTTATTTAAACACATAAACATCGATATAAAGAGGCACCAAATAAATATGCGCCACATAAATCATTCGACTTTTGTGAGGGCTGGGATACTGCTCGGGTACCTAGACCGAAGCAGGTGGTTTTCTTAGGAGGGCTCACCCGGAGCCTTTGACCTAAAGATCTAACCCACAAGGCAGTAGAGAAACGTTAGGAGATGCAGTTCCATGGTAGCCGGTGACCAATAATTGGTTCATACGCCATTTGTTCCCTCAAATAGAAAAAAGGGTCTATTTTCGACTCCAAGAACATATCCCTAGAAGTTCGATGGGACTTAAGGCTTTCAGTAGTAGCGTTTCAAAGCATATCTTTTGGACACAAATCAGGTTTATATATCGAAATCTTTCACGATTATCAGTCTGCAATCAAACTCTAGTCTTAAATTTGCGGAAACCGTAGCCATTAAACATCTGAGACCAAATCTGCGTATGGGAAAGTAAAAAGTGCATAGTTTCCTTCAAATTCATAATTTTTAACTGATTGATTTCAACTTATGTTGTTCTTACTTAGTAATAATTTGTGTTCATCTTCATTGGATAATCAGTTATAATTTTTTAGCTCTGTGATCTGTTATTACTATGTCTGATGATTTGGAATCTTATCTCACATAATATATTTATTTACAATGTTATTGCACTTACTTGGATTGCCACTGCATCATAACGACACGTGTCCACATCTAACTCAACTGTTTTAAATATACTGATGATAATCCCAATTTCGAATATTCTAGATTGTAAGCAGCTGATGGGAACCTAACAAAGTAAATTGAATTTGTTACTCTGCTCAATTCTTTGTTCTTGTTCCCACTGAGTTAGTTGAAGTAACTTATTGCGTGGAACTTTCCATATATGTTGAACTGACCAAACACTTGATAAGGGTGATTCAGATTATTGAAAACAAATATTTGCTTGATGTATCAATTTTTACGGTTACCTTTATTAGTCGTTTTCTGAAATTACTCTTTTCAAAGAGACTTTCATCTTTCCGGAAAAATTTACGCCGATTAACGTAGATACCGGGGACTTGAATATACAGACTTTCCAGGTCTTTTATTGTCCGCAACAACGGTTGACAACCAGTTTTAACCTGACAATACAATAAGCTAATCAGGCATTAACCTCGACGGCTGATATTGTCTAGTGTAGAAGTAGGCTGTAAGAAAGCTAGGGGTGGCCGAACGAAGACATGGCATCAGTCCATAAAGTTATTGACATTTGGACTGAGCCATACTAATGGGTGTAGACTAGCTAGTTAGGGTTCACATGATTATCGTACTCACTGGCTAGACATTCTAAATGATATGTCTCAGAATCGTTTACAGTGGCTCGGGTTCATTCATTCTTTGTCTTCCTCAAAATTCCGAGCTTCAGAATTCCTTATTACTTTCTTTGTGTTTTTGTCTCACTTATGTATATTTTCTTGAATCGTATCTTTGATGCATAATCTCTTATCACAATGCCTATTGTTAGTACCTCTGCTATTCTGGAATTCGGCCTGACAATTTCATCTCTCTGTGCTAATGGGGTATGGCAACTTGAACCTATGTACATATGCACTGGGTTTTACATTATGACTGGACTGGCTTAGATGCCCATCTCAGATTGTAGCCAAGCCCGACGATATCCTTATTCGTGTCAGAGTGGGTCACGGTATGATTGATGATCATACACTAGTCATAATATTGTCCTTTCCTAAATAGATTTAATCAATTATAAAGCTATCACTAGTTGGTAGTAGATAAATGATCTTTGTGCTCTCCATATTGTACACTAGGCCGATAGTTTCTCTTTATTAGGATAATGGCTCTACTGGAGTTCACTTTGTAAAATAATCAAGATAAAGTTTCAGGAATCAGTAAACATGTTTTTTTATTCTCTCATGCTCAGTTTTGATGTTATTCAGATGTATTGTAATTTTCGCATTTTTACGTATAGAACATCAAATGGAAAGAGTACTGTTATCAACGCAATGTTGGGTTCAAAGTTGTTACCTTCTGGTTTGGGCCACACCACCAGTTGTTTCCTTGAAATTCAGGGGACGGATCAGGACTCAGGATATCTTCTAATGGCTGATTCTGATATCAATGCTAAAGAAACGTCAGATATTTCTCACCAGGTTTGATTAAATATTTAATTAAAACTTTTGAAAGATGACTTTTATTTTGTTTTAATGGGAAGTCGATTAGATTTTAATGGATAGTCTGAAATATAAATATTTTTGTCTTAAAATTTGTTTTAGTTTTGTTGGTGTACTAAAATTCTGTATTCCACCAATCTTACAACTTGTAGTTTTCTACTTGAGGTTTAATTCACCTGTCTTAATGAGTTAGGAGTAAGTTGAAAGAAACTTAAAGTGGGACAAATCAAGGCGTTATCAGCTCATAAAATCATTGACTGCTATTGATAGGTACAAGCTACATAGTCAGCTCTTCGCGGCAACTTTAATCAGTGGTTGGAGATGTTAAGTGACATTTCGCAGATGCATTCACCATTTATCTTCTGGATTTTGAGTTCTACTATTCTGGAGAAACAAGAGCACGATAATCCTAAAAAATATTTGTGTTCATTTACTTGCGTGGAACACATAATTTTCCGAAATATCTGTTCCATAACTTACTACTATTGCTAAGTCGACCCAATAAGTAAAATAGTCCTAGTTGTACTAGGACAATCTCTTAATCAAGTTAATTTTTCTTTATTCAGGCTCGTCCTATTGATTCCGTTGGTCAGTTGGCTCATGCATTAAGCAATGTCAAGCTCTCTACAGACACACTACTAAAAATATTCTGGCCAAATTCATATTGTAGACTGTTACGTGAAGATGTTGTTCTACTAGATAGTCCAGGAATTAATGTTGATCCAGATATGGATAAATGGATTGATCTTCACTGTTTGGATGCTGATGTTTTCATTCTTGTTGCTAATGCTGAGTCAACATTAATGCAAGCCGTAAGTAATTAACATATTTTCTTTTGATTGGTAATTTATTGATTTATTTGAACACAAACATTGGTACAAGGGAACCCATATGCACCATTGGTCTGGAATCAGGGTTTTTCAACTCCCCTAGGTGGACTCTCCGTGTGCACCGGCGAGGTTAAAGCGCCGGACATTACTTTGATTAGTTTTAAAGCTTGGCCAACTAGCTCAGCCGATGTAGTAGACTGGCTGACTGGGATTATAACCAGCTATCATGGTTCTTTAACAAGCATTATCAGCATATAAATGCTGCGGTGTAATAGGCCGGTTACCAAGGCTGATTTTCTCAGCGGTTACTGTTATGCCTGTGGCATCGTTGTGAGAATTTACAGTCACTGGAGTGTCTTTCAACTTTGACCAAGTTACTCAGCTATTCACACCAAATCAACAATTCACAACACGGGTTTACAACAGAGATACTTTTTCAATAGTGTTACTAAAAATATCAAAGCTGGGATATTTTGCAATAGAATATTTATTGAGGTATAACCGTAGAATCAACTTCCTGCGAATATGTGAACAAATAGGAAGATTTCTTCATCTATACACTTCATTGTTTTCTTTTAACTATGCCGTCTCTTCTGTTGTCTACATTTATATGTATTTTGTTCTTCTTTCGGCTCGTCTGCAATCATTATTATGTTCACAATTCATAGGTTGTAGTCAGTTCTTTGATATTGTTGGGGTTAGCGATTACTATTTCACCTTTGTTGAACTTGGCGGCTGTCATACTGTATGACTTTGTTCTTGATTCCGTCTGCTTGATTCACTGAATTGGCTATCCCTAAAGGATAGAAGATAAGACAGCAACTCCGGTGAAACCAGACGAGGAAACCACAGGGTCCCCGAATAAACGCACGTGAAACAAGCTTTTTGAACCGACAGATGTATAGTGAATTTGTAGTACTTCGCTAGTCTTGAATACGGGTCTCGGATAGACAACAAACGTCGATATTAGGACTTTCTAAAGACATTACCAGCCTTATCTGTTGTTCTTCGTAAGTTGTTTAAAACCCGAGAACGATTAACTCGCGAGGAGCAGGCTGGTTCTGCTGCCTGGAGAAAAACTTCTCGACTTTGAGTATGCGGATAATATTGTCTTACTGTGCGATAATGCCCAAGGCGTACAATCCGCACTTAATCAGATGGCAATCAGTGTCCATGGGTACGGTATGTGCTTTGCACCCTCCAAGTGCAAAGTACTCCTATAAGACTGGCAGGATTCTAATCCTGTACTCACCCTGGATGGTGAGCAGATTGAAGTGGTTGAGAAGTTCGTGTATCTGGGTAGTCGCATAAGTGCTGGTGGTGGCGTGAGTGATGAGATCGATGTACGTATAATGAAAGCCAGAGCGACTTATGCCAATCTGGGCCATCTTTGGCGCCTTCGTGATATTAGTCTGGCTGTAAAAGGTCGGATCTACAACGCGTCGGTGATAGCAGTTTTGCTCTATGCTTGTGAAACCTGGCCTCTTCTGGTTGACGTCTCTGTTTCTGATCATTGTTGTCTCTGAAGGATTGCTGACATCCACTGGCAACACCATGTTAATAATTCAGGGGTTCAGCATCTAGTGTTCGGGGACAGAGACGATAATTCAATTAGTGTCACCATCTTGAAACACCGACTTCGGTGTCTTGGCAATGTCCTACGAATGTTGTCTCGAAGAACTCCACGTCGTGCATTATTTACCGACTCTGAGACTGGTTGGAAAAAACGGAGAGGTGGTCAGTGTATGACATGGTGTCGTGGCATGAAAGAAAGCTACAAAGGGCTAGCATCTGTTGGTCCTTCACGACTCCTTGGTTGGGGTCCGAGAGATGGTGCAACACAGTGGTTAGAGACGTTATTAGATATGGCTCAGAATAGAAGCCAGTGGCGATCTTGTTGTAACCTTCTTTTACTTTCTTCATAAAGAGTGGTTCTAACTTTCTTAACTGAAAGTGTCTTCCGGTTGTACATTTCAGTCCCTTTTTTTCATCCTTTCTCTTCCTATTTTCATTATTTTGTGTGGCGCATATGTATCTGGTTCCCTTTTGTACCAATATGTATGTGCTTAAATAAATAAATAAATAAATATATTATCTGTTGTTCGATCTGCATTCGTGTGCAAACGTTGAAGGAAGTCAGTTTGAATGGTGCACGTGGTTTCAGAAAGACTGTTTCAGTATACGTATTCGGTGGAAGCACTCACTTCCGACCAGACAATGTCTCGAGATCGTTTAGATAGGACAGGGTTTCCATCATAGGCGAGCCACTGTGTAAGTTGAAAAATAAGATACGCAAAATGAGAATAAAAGGGAATACATAAGTAACATAATATGAAAGAAATAAAAACTAATGTGATCAGATGATTGTGAGTGGGATTTGTCTGAATGCGAATCGGAGCGAGAATAATTTTCCCAGTAATAATCATTTGGTTTGTGTGAAAGCTGTGATACTGCCCGAGTGCCCAAACCGAAGTAGGTGGTTTCCCTAGGGGGCAACACCCAAAGCCTTCGCCCCAAAGGTCTGATCTACAAGGCAGTGGAGCAACGCTAGGAGACGCAGTTCCATGGTGGCCGGTGACCAACAGTTGGCTCATACGCCATTTGTTTCCTCAGGATTCCGGAACCCATACCTATGTGCACCATCGGTTTGGAATCAAAGTTTTCCAACTTTCCTAGGTTGACTCTTCGTGTCCACCGACCCAGTTAAAGCGCCGGATGTTCGCTTTTTATCCTCTCAATTTCTTAAGCAACATCCCTGCCACGAAAAGACAGTTAGTAGGAGTTCCCTGACAGTGGCTGTAAATGCGTGGCCATGTGAAAGCATTTCGAGAGGGTGAGCGAACTCTCCTCACTTTCAGCCATATCATGGCATTTGGTGGCTTCAAGTATCTATGTAGTATTATATCTATTTATAATGGGTTTGAAGAAAGGGGTAATTTTACTAAGATCAATGCAGTTGTATATCTCTTAATGTATAAAAATGATATGGTCATAGTGATATGTATGCACTTGAAGGTTATTTAATCTTAAATTAACTATTAGAAAGATTAGTAATAGTTTTGTTATCGATAATTAGAGACACACTGTGAATGTTACTTCTTTGAGTTACTTTTTAAGGGACACTGTATAAGCTCAGTTTGTTTTGTATTGGTAATCATTGTAATAAATTATTTAAAGCCAAAGATTGTAACGATCTAGTAGTTAAAACATTCAACTTTTCACCTGTTAGTTTGTAAATCTGAATTCTAACTAATTTAATTTGATCATTTGGGTAGTATAATTAACTTTTACACTAAAAGTGTGTCTAAAATTTGAGTATATAAACTTGCACCTTGCTAAATGAATCATATTTTATTCGCATTTTTTTTGTAGAAAAGTTTTAATCTACACTATTTGTTTCAATTATTTTAAATAAAAGTAATCGAGATTCGTTTTTTTCTTCAGATAAAAATTCTTCTTGTGTACTAAATTTTTCAGGAGAAAGATTTCTTTCATAAAGTCAGTCAGAAGTTATCCAAACCAAATATTTTTATCATTAATAATCGTTGGGATGCTTCAGCAAATGAAATTGAATATATTAATGAGGTATGTATACTTTTTTATGTTTTAGTTATTTTCTAAACTTTCGAATACCTATTGTGAGTCCATTAAAAAAGTGTTCAGTTAAGCTTAGTCACAATAAGATCGATTAGCCTCACTTTTCTAAAGGGTTATTTTTTAGGGGAGGGGGAGAGCTGTGGCAGAAAGGCAAATAATAATAATAGTAACGACTATTTTCCTTTTATAAGACCTACAGTGACGTTATTGAGGTTTATGATCACCTTTTTATCAAACAAATTTCATAGTGAATTAATATCTATCAGTAAATCACTGAAAACTAAGATTCGTGAAAGAGATATTTTCCCCTTGTTCAGGACTTTTAAAAATTGCACACGCGTTGGAACATGACTTTCAGGTCTGGCGGTGAGCATATCATCCAGTCACTGAGTCCAACATTTAGTAGCTCAGATTTTCAACTTTCGTTTATTCGCCATATAATGATATCATCTTTCAACTTCATCGAAGGATAAATGCCATACTCTTGGCGTGATTGGAACCATAGTCCATAACTCAGCAGCTAAATTCTCCAATTAGGTAAGGGTATCTGCGTAGTTTGATCCATCTTTTTACTGCATCACTTTCTCAGTACGATAAAGATCTATCTATGTAGATTCTCGTTACGTTATTTCCATTTTCCTACAATAACTATAATTTTTAGGAATATTACTTTTTAAATTATCATAATTTTTACTTAAATTATTTATATTTTAGGTACGTGAACAACACCTGCAACGTTGTGTAGCATTTCTTGTTGATGAATTAAAAGTATGCACACGTACGGAGGCAGAGGGACATGTTTTCTTCGTTTCAGCCCGTGAAGTTTTAGCAATGAGAACAAAAGCAAATTTAGGTGGAGATCCACATTCAGGTCCTCCTGGAGCAGCTACAAGTATTGGGTCTCCTTTGTCAGCAGGTGGGCCACTATCATTAGTAATTTCTTATGAAGCTTATATTTATTCGGTTTTGAGACACACAGATTATGCTAGTGCTAAAAACATTAACCCTCTGGACTCGATGTTAATAAACTTATCAGATACTCTTTTTTCTCTGTACAGTCAGCACCATACTATCCAACAGTTTGAAAACGTAATTATATCAAGAAACACAGAAACAGCTCGCTTGTAATACATGTGTTTGTGTTCAAACATATGAGAAAGTGTTAAGACATGACCAATGAATCCACAACCTGAACAAAGGCTTCCTTCTCTTGAGGACTCATTGTTTCGTGAGTCTTTCACTACCTATGGGGAATGGCGGCAATCCACTTTTTTGGGCAACCAATGACATCTACCGACGTCTTGGATGATGGGCAGAGTTTTTCGAGGAACTGGTCTGCTGCCCCGGCAACATCGACCGGACCGTCCTGCACTCCATAGTTTGTGACGGCTGGTCCACCTGACGAGACGGAAGTCCGCAAGGAACTCCAACTCTCAAAGTGCCGTAAATCATCAGGCCCAGATGACTTACCTCCAACCCTTTTTAATGATAGTGATGAATTTCTGGTTAAGGAACAGACCGAGTTGTTTACAAAGGTCGTGAGATTAAAATTGCTTTATACCTTTGTTTCTACGAACTAATTCTTTCTTCCTGTATTGTATCCTTATACACAATCTTTCTTTTATATATTACTACCATTGAAGTAACTACTTCTATGAATTTTGTGTTCATGTTGTTGTGCCAATCAGGTGTGGCAACTTGAACCGATGCATATATGTGCCTGATCCTACATTGCAGCTGACTGACTGACGAAAGACCTGGCAATTAGAGTGTCCCAACATCATCGAGTGAGTCTATTGTTGTCCCGTCTTTGCTGAGACAACTATCGGAGGATAAGTCTACTTCCGATTGCGTCTAAACTATTGGCTTCCATCATACTTCGTAGGTTGTTCAAAACCTGAGAAAGATTGACTCGCGCGAAGCAGAATGGTTTTCGTTTTGGTCGAGGATGTATTGACCATATCTTCACCCTCTGCCAAATGTTAGAACACCGTGATGCTTATTACAGGCCAACAATCGTAGTGTTTCTTGACATCAGGGCCGACTTCAATTCTTTGGACAGAACTGTTCTCCGGGATTGTCTATTGAAGAAGGGTTTGCTTGAGTTTATTGACATCTTGATAGCCATATATAAAAACCTCGGGCAGAGTGAGAGGACATAACCACAACCATCTAATCTCATCATACCGCTTCAAATTTGCCATCGATGGCGTTTTGAAAACAGCTCTGATGGATGTAGGTGATGGTGATGTGGAATCCTGAACCTACCCTAACCCTGGGTAGTGAGGGTATCGTGAACGAGAACACAGACAGAGACAACCGAATGTACTTGAACACAAAATTACAGAATCTCTTAGTAAAATCTGAAAACCATACAGTAGATTCTTCATTTGCAAAGTGTCGGTCAACTGTCTGTGACTTCGTTTCCACACCAATCACTCTATTCTCGTTCTCTTTTCTTCGATCTTCTTAACTTTCTGTCGCCAGGCATTCCATTCTCGATTGGTGATACATATTATTTATATCTGTCGACATCAGTGGCATATACCTCAAAGGGATAGAAGTAGTCGATAATTTCGTGTATCTGGGTAGTCGCATAAGTGCTGGTGGTGGTGTGAAAGATGAGACCAATTCATGCATAGTGAAGGCCAGATAGGCTTATGCCAATCTGGGCCATCTTTGGCGCCTTCGTGATATTAGTCTGGCTGTAAAAGGTCGGATCTACAACGCGTCGGTGATAGCAGTTTTGCTCTATGCTTGTGAAACCTGGCCTCTTCTGGTTGACGTCTCTGTTTCTGATCATTGTTGTCTCTGAAGGATTGCTGACATCCACTGGCAACACCATGTTAATAATTCAGGGGTTCAGCATCTAGTGTTCGGGGACAGAGACGATAATTCAATTAGTGTCACCATCTTGAAACACCGACTTCGGTGTCTTGGCAATGTCCTACGAATGTTGTCTCGAAGAACTCCACGTCGTGCATTATTTACCGACTCTGAGACTGGTTGGAAAAAACGGAGAGGTGGTCAGTGTATGACATGGTGTCGTGGCATGAAAGAAAGCTACAAAGGGCTAGCATCTGTTGGTCCTTCACGACTCCTTGGTTGGGGTCCGAGAGATGGTGAAACACAGTGGTTAGAGACGTTATTAGATATGGCTCAGAATAGAAGCCAGTGGCGATCTTGTTGTAACCTTCTTTTACTTTCTTCATAAAAAAAATGAATGTAGCTTCTTTAATTGAAAGAATTATTTGTGGTTATATTTTTGCTGCCTGAACTGTTTCTCCCATTATTATTATTATTATTATTATTATTATTATTATTATTATTATTACTACTACTACTATTATTATTAATATTATTATTAGCGTTATCGTTGTCTGTATTACTATTACTTTAGAACAAGTATGACATTCGCCAACTCATATGAATTTTTTATTCTTATAAGAATGGCATCATCATACAAATCGATTACGTTTCTCTTTACGTCCTATCGGGATTATTAACTGTCCATAATCGGATAAAACACGTTATTATTACGTCACCAAAGTTAACAAAATTTCGATCAATTGTTTGTATCCTTCGATCAGTTATACTTTATGACCTTCATATTAGGTTTCGAACCTAAATGGATAATCTGTATATTTGGAATTTACGGCAAATAGTTTGATTGTTTATTTAGAACTACCATAGCGTTGTTAGTTACTCTAATAATTTTGTGACATTACATTGGAATTATTTTTAGTGGCCTATATGGCTGAGGGTTGGCAAGACAGACTCGTGGAATTTACAAATTTCGAAACTGTTTTCGAGGTTAGTGGTGGTCAAATTTTCTTACTATTCCCTATTTATGCATTGAAGTAATCCATTTGTGATAGTTTTTCTGTTTTATGTCTTGTTTTATGTGCTTTTCTGTTTTGTTCTCCATTACTGATGATCAATGTGATTTCACCAAAAGTAATGATCACTCGTTGCATATTAAACCTTATTTTTAATACTGTTGTGATTCACTGGATTTTAGACACTGAATTCTCGACTATAGAACCGAGATTTTTAACTACACTGTACTTATTTGGATTTGTATAACTAAGTAATTACCATACACCAAGTATAGCTTATGACTCGGTTTTCGTACAAGCTAATAGATTCTTAGTCGTTTTAAAGATTCTTTGAAGGGTTTACAGTGCTTGGAACAGTGTCTTAATGATCATAACAGTCGACTTCAAACCACTGTGTTTCAGGTTCTAAAATCGCATATGCTACCATGATTAACTGTATTGAAAGTCATTCTTTGAGAAATTTTATATATAGTGCTTACCCCTCTATCGTTCAAAAAGAAAAAATTATAACTGTAGGGTTATAGGTTCAATTTACTTTTGTACCACTCATGAGTGGTCTCAGGGCATTCTTTTTTTCGATGGTCACCTTAGTGCACTTTAACTTAAATTTCACTTGAATTATACAACTCCAAGTCGAATAATGGTATTTGACTAGTTCCACGTGAAGTCATCCTCAGCATTCCAATGTAATTAATCAGTTGACAGAATGTAAACTATTGTAATGTAAAAGAAGACTAACAACCAAGGGATTAATGTTTCGAATCGATCATGTTAGAGATAGATTAGTATATTTATGTATGTGTCGCGTTCAAATGTATTCAAATTTAACTATAGTAACACTTGTAATTTATGAATTACTGAACTCCAGTATTGTCAATAAATCACTTGTTAATTTATTTTTTCTTTTATATAGAAAAATCTTTCAGAGTCTGCTACTCGTACAAAATTTGCAGCTCATTCTGAACAAGGCAAGGATGTGGTGAATAGAGTCCGTACAATCATGGAAAATATCTATGAGACAACAGTTGAAGAAAAGTCAGTATTATTTTATTGTTAACATTTTATTTTAATTGAGATTTTTGTTCGATATTTTATGTTGCCAATGGTTATAAGTGAGTGTTTCTTCTTTTTTTTGACTCTTTTCTACATTTATCCTCATTATGAAATGGATTACTAACATTGATTATAGGCTTTAAAAATTTATTGGATTCTGATTTATTTCATTCTCTTTATTTACTTTATCTAATATTAAGTGTAGCACCGTTTGTGCAACACTTTTTCCATTTTGATCTTCATATTAATGAGTAGTTAAATATAAGTTCATATGTTATGTTTAGGTATACACATATCAATTCTGTCAGTTCCTGATCATTTAGTTTTTCACTTCTGTTGACGCTAATATTTTCGTTTATTCACTTTTTCTGTTATTATTTTCCCTTCGTTATAATAGTTTAATATTTGATAACTTGAATCGAAATACATTCGAGTTGAATATTACGTTGTTTTCAACTGAATATGATAACATGCAATTTAGATTTCATAGCAGCATTACTTTGCATTCGATCATATCTTTAGGTTATCTTATGGTGGACACGGGAAGTCCACCTAGGGAAGTTGGAAAACCCTGATTCCAAACCAATGGTGCATATGGGCTCCAGTATACTGAAGGAACAAATGGCGTATAAATCAATTGTTTGGTCACCGGCTTCCATGGGACTGCATCTCCTTACGATGCTCCACTGCCTTGTGGATCAGATCTTCCGGTCAAAGGCTTCAGGTGTGGCCCCCTAAGTAAACCACCTGCTTCGGTTTGGGCAACTGGGTAGTATTACAGCCATCACACAAATCAAATGAGATTTGTGCGGCGCATATGTATTTGGTGCCCCTTTGTACCAATATTTATGTGTTCAAATAAATAAATAAAATAAATTAGGTTATCTTGATTTTTTTTCCCCGTTTTATTAAAGAAACTTTATTTTAACGAGTTAACTAGTTTTACGAGTATACTTTTATTGACAGAGTTAAAGTTATTTTTTATTTACAGCCATATTAGTTATCATATGTTTGTTGTTATGAAATTTAATTTTAATCGCACTTTTTTCTGTATTAGAGATGCTGCTGTTCGTTGTCGTCGTCTTTCTCAAGCACATCTTGAAGAGGTACGTGCTCGGTTGATGAAGACAACTCAAGCTGTAGATGAAATGCTTCATGCTAGTTTGGCACGTGTTGAAGCTCAAGTTGCTAGTGCATTAAATGCTGAAATTCGACGTTTGAGTGAACTTGTCGATAGTTATTCACGTCCTTTCCATCCAGATCCAGCTTTGATTCACGTATACAAGCGGGAACTAAATACTCATGTTGAACGTGAATTAGGCAGAAAACTTACTGAAGCTTGCTCTAGTGATATTCTTAATGAAGTTGCTCGATGTGAACAATTAATGATGAGTAAGTTTTTTTTACTAATTTGGTTGTTAATTAAGAGTGACAGATATTTTGAAACTTGCAACTACACTCATGTGTTAATAGTCAGGGGCTTCACACCATAATAGTAATTCAGTGTTCACTTTTTTTCGCAGTGCCGTGTTTGAGTACTGCTAATTGACTTAAGAATTATCAAGCAAAAATTAAGTCTTTTCAATTTCATATGCATATTTGTGTGATGAAATTGATTGTCACTGTCGAAAAATAACGTTCTTGTATCTACATTAGAGTCTTCATTGTGAATCATAATAGCTAAATAACACACTACGGATAGTACTTAATGGACCTTAATAATGATAAAGATTATTTCCTGTGAAAATCCATTAAATTATTCAAAATATATTGGGTAAATATCTCACATTCTTCTAGTCAATTTCGTCTTTATAGTTCGCTTTTAAAATCTAATAAGTAGGCCATTGTCTTATTGTAAATACCTTTAAATCTAGACTAAAAATTGTTAAGCACTTGACCTGTTAAGCTCTCATATACCTGTTTGTTTATTGATCTTTATTATTAAAGTCTAATATGATAACACAATTGTTTTTTAAATCTTTATGTAATTTATTCGTATGTGAAAGTGGTAAAGTCAGTCCAACAAAGTCATTATCAGAGTTGTAGATGTAGGGTAATACTCGTTTGTCCGAAAGATTTAAAATTCTATCATTAAAATAAATAGTAGTGTAAGGTACCAGATTTTCACCACATTTTACAAAAAATTCCTATATTTTGCATGGCATATAATTTCATAAATTGGTTTTTATTCTTTTTCTCGTTTCAGATAAACATGCGGCAATTGTTTCAGACGAAGCTTGTAAAAATCGTATACTTCAGCTAGTTGATCCTACTGCATTTACTCCGGAATTCCATCTCGATTGTCGTAATTTGTGTGCAAATTTTCGCGAAGATATTCAGTTTCGTTTTTCTCTTAGTTTGGGGACGCTGTTTCAACGATTGTCAGCCCCACGTCGTTCGACAAATAGTGTAAGTTTTCTGTCGCTGTACAACCATTTTGTTAATTGAAAAAGGTTTTTTTTGAGTCGCTATATGTAATGTAAAACGTGGTGACTTGCTAGTTAAAGCACTTAACTTTCAACCGCACCTTCCATTCTCACGTCAAATATTTGATTTCAAACAGCTAAACAGAATCAGTGGCCCTTAAACAAAATGTGTAATTTAGAAACTTTTCCTGTTTGTTGAGATGCGGTGCTCTCCAACACTCCAAAAAATTAATTACATTGTTTTCAAAAGCACTAAGAACTCGAAGACTTTTTTCTGCACTAAAACCTTCACTTACTATCACTTCTAGTTTATTTTAACAGATAATTACATTTGTACACCTTTCTTTTTTCCTGTTCAACGTTTTTGAAAGACAAGGTATCAGTTAACTAAGTAAACAGTTTATAGACAATTTTTTTGAATAATGTACGAATCCAGACTTTTTTATATGCATCATTCTGATAATTCAATTTGTCTTTATTAATTCATCAGTATGTGTTCGAAAGTCCTCTCACAGAAACATTATTGAATAATGTCGTAAAATATTAATAGGGATTTAGTTCGATATTGTTAAAAGAAAAAGAAAATGAGGATTCTGTTTTATCAGAAGGGGGTTTTGTGGAGATTTTAGTAACTTTATATAGTTGAGATCATGAGTCAATTGAAGCTAGACCATCAAGGAAACCTGGAAGCACTGGATGGCAGTTTCGTCCTACTGTGAGACTCAGCAGTGCGCATCCACGATCTTGTCTCGCGAGATTCGAACCCAGGACCTACCAGTCTCGCGCCAGAGCACTTAACCGATTCTGTTTTAGAATTTGTTATAACACCCAGTTTTCCTCGTCTACATGAATGAGACTCTAATTTGCCTTATACGAATATCTACACTAGATACCCTCTCAGTGTCTATTTTACAGGACTTCAACACAACTCAGGCCAGGGACACATAACTAGTCTAACTAGAACGTAAGTTTCTTTCCACACCAAAAACCGACAACAATCCAATAATATTACTTGGTTGCCACTAATCGGACTTCCTTCTTTTGGGTCTTCTTATATGTAGCATATTGTTATCTATTATCGATAAAGTACCCATGTTAACCTGATTAATATCATTCTGTTGCTCATACACACATCTCCTTTTTAAAGGATTGATGTACTTATTGACAAGTGATTTTAGCATTGAAAAACTTGTATCACAGAATGTAACTCAGTATCATGAGTTGTACTGTAGTGTATGCCACTTATACTGACAGATATAAGTAGTATGTAGCACCAACAGGAAGTGGAATGCCTGCCGGGGGAAGATTAAATTAAAGAGAACAGGAAGATAAACAGAGAGCAAATGTATTAACAACCGAATTGAAAGAATGAAGAAGTATGTACGTATGTATGTATGTGTAAATGTGTTTAGTTGTTTAATATATAATCAGGTAGTCGATGTTTTTTATTCATCTTGCTTTCAGTATTATTGGACACAATCTGATGGGATTCCTTCTAGTTTGGTTAACTCTTCTATATTACCCAGATCTTCGTTGACTGTTGATTTGTTCCCTTCTCTTATGAGTCGAAGTGCTGTTGGTACTGTCATTGTTTTTGGAATTGTAAGTTTTAATTCATTTGACATTGTGTTGTATTTACAGTGTTTTATGTATAGAAAGAATAAAAAGTTCCGATAACTCATTCAATGTTCTCTAGTTGTATACATTTTCAGATTTAATGCATATTTCCAATAGATTTCACTACTTGTTTCATAATTCTTTTTCTGGCTATCATAATTTTTATGAAAATGTGGATAGAATACAAAATTTTTAATCTGATTTCTTTTTGAATTACGAATCTCATCATAATAACTGTTCGAATGAAAGTGTATTGGTACAGTCAAATAGTGATTGGATGTAGCTTTTTATTGTAATAGAATTTAGACATGTGATTTAATTACGTTGTCATTTGATATTTCCTCATTTGGACTAATAGTTTGATCAACAGAATGCTCTCAAGTTACAATTTTTTCTACGTTGTTGCTAGAAATATTCTAACTAGTATTTGAATGTTTAATTAAAGTTTACTTTCCATTTTTTGCATATACTTAATCAATCCTTAATGGACTCACTTAGTATTAACAGAATGTTCACGTTACTTGCATAGAAAGGGTAGCATCTAAATTCATAGTTCTGATCAGTAATAGTCTGTTTGCTTTTCTCTCATGCTCACCTTTTAAAATTACTTATTTTCCATTGCGAACGTCAGTAAGAAGGAATTTATTTTTTTATAGCTTGTGATAAACATCTTTTCGTGTTTACATATTTATAAGTGCTATCGGAATTGCCGTTATGGAGCTAATCAATCTGTGCTTTATTAAGTTACTCTTATATAAAATCATTTAGAAATTATAAATTGAGAATTTCATTTCACTACTTCCAATTCATCTCATACTGTGGCAACAACGGTGTACCTTCGTTTGTTCCAAACGATCAATGTGTTTGGATAGGGTATGAAAACCCGAATTGTTTAGCACAACATTACAAACATTTATTTGTTTATTTATTCCCATTTTTTGTATGGTATGACAACTTTGGTTTACAGCACCTATTAGATTGTTTAATTTCATCAACGACCATAACATGAGGCCCTGTATAGTCGATCAGCTTTTCCGGCATCAGATCTACGTACATATAGATACGCCTGTTATCTTACCACAGTTTCTCCACTTTTTCACTCCAAATGACTCTCATTTTCAACTTTGTTAATATGATTAGATGATTTGTTTAGTACATAGTCCATTTGTAAACCATATATTTGTATCCAATGATTTTAATTATTAATTATTTCTTTTGCAAAAGCTTGGATTAGATTGCCAAGCGAAACGTTAGATTCATCATCGTTATTGTTGAGATTTTTACAAGTCTAACATCCTTCTCAATGTTATATACTAACTCGGCTCCAAACTACCGTGGAACTATTTGTTCAAATTTAAATGATAATTCTTACAAATGTTGATAATTCCATTTGAAAGTGAAGTGACTTTTATAAGTTTTGTGAAAATCAATTTTATTAGATTGTAATACTTTTTTCCATATTCTCTAAAGTTCTTAGTGTAATGGCAGATTTCTGTCCATTTATTTCTGAAAAAGCGTTTTTGAATTATGCATTGCTTTTTTTGTTATAAAAACCCAACCATATTAGATGTCTAAAGCTGTTGGTTGGCGAGTTCTAGCAGTAGCTTGTGGAATATACGGTGGTTTATATCTATACGAACGACTTTCTTGGACAAATAAAGCTAAAGAGGCTGCTTTCAAACGTCAATATGTCGATTTCGCTTCACATAAATTACGTTTAATTGTTGATTTAACCAGTACAAATGCTCGGCATCAAGTAAGTTTTGTGGTAAAGTTTTAAAAAATTCTTTGGTTTGTTCACTGAACAATTGTAAGTGTAAAAAATAATTTGATAATAGCGATAATATCTACTTTGTTTTGATATATTTGATATAAATGTATAGAATTTTCATAGTTCATTTGCTACTTGATAATGTGTCGGCAGATTTGGAGTAATTTTAATTTTTGAAAATCTAAATTTTAAGAAATCCTTCTAGCTGTTGATCTGTGTACTTAAAACTGAACAGCATATTGCTCAGCTTTTTTTCCAGTTGCTTTATCAATATTCCTATTTATTCATCCTAATACATATATCACTATACACTTATTCTTGGAATTGCTTAAGATAACTTGTTATCACTATGTTATTATTGTTATTACGGTTTAAAGTATTATTCTCTCGTGGCTAGTGAACTAAATTACTCAGTCAGTTTTCAACCATTTAACTGTAAATTTCAACTTTGTTCTATCTACTTTGGTTTAAGTAGTCAGATATGATTATTAGCCTTGATACAAAAGTATGGTTGAATCCCAGAAGAGATTTTTAGTATTAATCCACTTTTAAATTTGTTTACAAATATGTGCTTGATATGTTTTATTTATTTTATTAGGCTAAAAGAGAGTTACATCTAGCTCATAAGAAGTTGTCTACGGAAGTGGAGAATTTCAGTGATACTTTAGTCGAAGAAGTGAAACAATTGGATAGTGATATTAACCGTCTGGATTTCATTACTACAGAAGCAAGGAAACTTAAGTGAGTAATATGATTTTAGGCTGTTGAATATACGGATCTGTTATAACTTGTAGTCTGTGTGCCCTGGTAATGTATAACGTGTTAATGCCGCCAATTGGAGAACAGTGATTTATCGGTCGGACCAACGACTCATATCCCGTGCGAGCAGTCTATGATACTTATCGGTCCTGCTCACTGCCTAGCCCAGCCAGTTAAGTCCGAAACACCAATATCAGCCTCTGCGGTATGAATCATTTATTTCAAACGTACTGGGTTTATATACCAGCCAGATAGACCATATCGTACCATAAAATAGGAAACAACATTTGTACAAGATTTAGCTAAATGTGGCTGTAAATAAAAGATAGTAATTGATAGACAGGGCATAACTCAGGAATGGTAAATCGTATAATAATAGTTCATAAGTCAAAATAAAGCTCATAATAAGAAGGATATAAATATGAATAGTTTAGTTATTTAACAATTAAATGATAAAATATACTGATAGTATTGGTCCATGGATAGATCCAAAAAGTTACCATTCATTATTCTTATCGGGATATAACAGGATCTTACACTATAAATATGTTAGTGTGAACATGGAACCCTTTGTTTTATGTCCTTACTCATTATTCTGTCTTTTGTGTTAATAGTGTAAAACATTATCTGTTTCTAAACCAAATCCCCATTACAATTAGTCTAAATTATTTGTCACTTTACCGCTTGTTTTGACTTCGTTTACAATGGTAGTTTTAGGTGTAATGGATATCTGGAGTGTATCAAATAAGTACAGACTGTACTTCAGTTTACAGCGTTGATCAATTTGATACAGATTACTTGGTAATAATAATAAATTTAAGGTTATGGAGTCTGAAAGAACATAATTTCTAAGTAACTTCAAAAGGAGAACTTCGAATAAAATTACAAAACGATCAAGGTTATAGAAGATATAAAAGTCTGATTGAGGTGATTTTATAGCACAACATTAGTGATTATATACACTCCATAGGAAAAGTAAATTCAACAAGCATGAATTTGTCATTATTATACAAACTGTTAGCAAATAGAAATACTAAACAGAAAGCACAAATGAATCACTGAATATGTTTTGGTCTGGAAAATACTACATATTTATCATAAAAGGTGCATGAGACGGTCTAGACACTATTATACTCACTGATAGTAGTCTTTAATAGTGTTCTCTTGACCAAAACCCAAAGCCATTGACTTTAGTTACAGACTATGTTAGTCATTCCTCTGTAACACTAAAGTGTCATCTAACGGGTAAGTTGAGTGCCAGATCGATTAACCATGAACAACAAACAAGCGACAAATCATACGTTTTTTGAAGTACAATTGATTAAATAGATACTTCGAGGCGATTTAATGTACTGTGAACAAAAGTCTGTCCAATGTAGTTTTTAAAAGATATAAATGAAATAATAAATTGGATCTGAGAGATTATAGAATATTGTGTGGATAGATAGATGTCGTTGTGTAAGCTAAGTTTTCATTCTGTCCTGTAACAGCAATTAAATGAGGTAAACATAGAACTAGTTTACTGAAGCATAATAGACAATTAAAACATCTATGTGCACGTACATCTTTATGTTATCATGATTATACAGTCATTTAAAAAAAACAACGATATTTCGTATTTGGCCATGCTTTAGTGGGGAGAGTACACTTACTTATGCAGTTCACATTTCTCCTAAATCTCACATTTCAAATATTTATATTCTTTTAAAGGTAAACCTCTCTTGTTTACATGTATTCTTCGTTGCTATTACTTTCCTTTAAAAAATAATAAAACTTATTCAACTATTGACTATTTGTCAATTAATTTTCTTTAACTTTTATTTTACAGAAATCGTGCTAATAACTTGGGGAATATTTTGAATAAATTTCATGAAGCATTTATTTTAAATCCATGGGATGAACCTAGTTAGAAGAATTCAATGTATTCTACTGGTTTCTCTTTTCTTTTTTTGGAAGAAGAAATGCTCATCTATGTTTTAATCCATCTATGGATAACAATCTAATGTATTTATACATATATCATTTTGCTGGTAAAGTGAAAAACATGACTCAAAGAAAGAAGTCTCAAAATTGAACTATCTTCAAAACCATTCTAGTAGTAGTAATAGTTACTAGCAGAAGCAGTAGTATGGTAATAATTCATAGGCTACAAATTTGTATTCCTCAAACAATTTAATTTCCCCTTCTGAATGACTATAGTTTTATTTGAGAACTTTCTATACTCATCATTTATTAGTAGATTCATATCGTTTTATTTTATCTACTCACATAAACAATGAGAGTAATCATTATGGTTATGAATGATTGTTTTAAAAGTTGTAAATTTTAATCTACTCATCAGTCATATGTAGATATATGTCTTTGTAGCAGTTAGAGAAATATTGTATATTATGTATAGTATTCATGTGTCACTTATTTGTCAACATCATCATCTTATAAACTGCATTCTACTTAGTCGATAGATGAGCGCTTCTTATTATTGTTACCATTATTAGTTCATAATTAACTCTTTTTTGGGGTTAATAATATTAATAATTGAATATATGTGCAACATAAGATGTAATTCATATGAATTTTCTTAAATTGAATATACATTGTTAAACAATATAAAATGTTTTTCCATAGTTAACACTTTCATCACCCTATTCATTGGTACTAGAAGTTTATGATATGTTTCAGTAGATCACTCATATTTCTGGTGTATGCGTGATAATCAAATTCGATTGTTATTGCTTGCTTGAATTTTCCCATTGATGTTTGGGACTGCAATTGATCATTTTCTTATCGGCATATGTGCATACTGTGCTTATTGCCTCAATATAGCCTTAATTCACAAACGTTCACTAATGTTGTGATTGTTTTGTTTGTGCATTCAATTTACCCGTTTCTGATGAAGAATATCTTCGAGACTATTCCTATACTTCGTATATTAGTGAACCGGACAAACGCTTTTACTATAATTTCGAACGGTGTATAATTTCCGGGAGGAAAAATAAAATGGTAACCATTTATTTTATGCACAGCTCACGTCGAACGACCAGCGGGCACACAGTACGACGAATTAAAGAATGTAATTTAACAAACAAATATGTAAGGAAACGTGAAGGAGTCATCAAGTACCTTAAATTCCGAACGCTTAAGTGAGTATATATATATATATATATATATATATATCTGCCAATACCATAACTATACGAGAAGTAGTGTTTAGATCTTTTCATTTGTAGGCGAATTACTGCAGATTGAAATAACACTGTCTATCTTCCCTGTAGGTCATTTGGAGGGCTTAATTAATTTGGACCTTTACAACCTCGAGTGAGGATTAGGGTACCGTAATGGAAATTTATTTACTTAGTTTTCTGTTTAATGATCGAATGTAACATTGTCTCAAATAATTCTATCTTTTAAAATAATGCATTATACTACTTATTCAATATGTATAGTACAATCATCAATTAGGGAATTCTTTTGTAATATTTTTCCAATGCGATACTTCATCAAATAACCATCCAATTTGTTTCATGACATTTAATGTCAAATCTCGACGTAAGAAATTTCTATGACTATTTTAAAGTATTCAGTGATAAAAAGTTATCTTTATAGTTGAAAGCGTGAGTCAATTGAAGCTAGACCACCAGGGAAAACCTGGAAGCACTGGACGGCCATTTCGTCCTATTGTGGGACTTCTCAGCAGTGCGCATCCGCAAGACTGGTAGGAAATGGGTTCGAATCTCGCGAGGCGAGGTTGTGGATGTGCACTGCTGAGGAGTCCCACAATAAAACGAAACGGCATTTCAGTGCTTCCAGGTTTTCCCTGGTGGTCTAGCTACAATTGACTCATGATTTCAACTATGAAAATACTAAATCTCCACACAAATCCCTTCTGATAAAATGTTATCTATCTTATCATTGTTTAACAGGTTACTACATTCTGATATTACATTTCATGGTGTTTTTAGCAATGTACCTTCTTATAAGGTACATTGATATTTTCCTTTGTTTAGACATTTTCCCAGAATCCTCTTATTCGAATGAATATAAGCAGTTTATGGCTATGCATATATTGAATAAGATGAATGAGAAATAGTATAATGACTATTATTTAATAGGTGAATTTTAACATGTGAGTATTTCGACGAAAAGCATGGATAATTATTTTGTTTTCTTGAATGACAAATTCTATTTTCTTACTTACATATTAACTGTTAATTATCTTTGTGTAGTGGTGATAAGTTATTCTGTGGTCAATCGAAAGATGGAAAGATTGTAATGGAGAAATTTTTTCCCAAGATGTCATTTACGATAGCAATAATGTTGCATTCATTTTTAGTTTTGTACATGGTAGTGTATCATAAAACATATTGTATCATTTAACGAAGTTATTTTTCCTGATATCAGTTCGTACATTAGTCAGTCTACTTACTCTTATGGAGTAAGGTATATTGATCACCTAAAGCTTATACTTTTCAAATGGATATCCGAGCATTATGTTAAGTAACTATCTGAAATTGGAAATTGACATCAATCAACAGCTTAATCCTGGGATACATCGTTATGTCTAGTCATTTACAGTCACTGTCATTACATTTTAGTATCATTTTTAAAGTCAAAAGTATTGACTTCAATGGGAATTCGGGTTATAAACTTATGCATGTTTGGACCTAAAACAATTCACCGATCTCTGTATGCAAAAGTGTACAATGAATTGTGAAAGAATAATATTGGTTTATTCGATTTTCACTGATTCTTCAACTGATGTTACTTAATGACTAAAACCATATTCAAAGTTGTAAAATGTTTATCTAAATTACCGTTCATTTTCTAAATAATCTCTCATATCGGAGATGAGTTAACGTTTCTAACACTACATATAATGAATCTTACACCATAAAATTATTCGCTAAAACTTGAATATCAAAGATGTAATTGGACATAGTATGTTAATTGTATGGTAGCTTATCATAAAACTTTAATCAGAAAATTAATTTGACAGAATTAACGAATATCTTTTATCAAAGTTATCAGTGATCTGTTTCGTACAACGTTTTTATTAGATGCCCACTGAGTTCTAATATTTAGTTATTGATTAATCTTATAAAAAAAACGGTCCATGTGATTATTTCCTTTAATTAGAAAACTATCTAATTTTACAGTCATAAATGTGTGCGCTTTTATAGAGAAAGTGTTATTCATTGTCTAACAGCCTGAAATGAAATAAACTGAATTAGGTTTGTTCAAAGTTCAAAATTATTTTGTTCCAAATAACTACAATTAATTAAGATTTATTTGATTTCAAAGAACAATTAGTTTATGTTAAGGAATCTAAAAAATGTAATCGGAAATTAATATTAATGAAGAAATGAATGCGATATACAACACGAAGAACACAAACCCAATCACACTTGATGGCGAAACTCTGGAAGAGGTAGAAACTTTTACGTACTTAGGAAGCATCATTGATAAACAAGGAGGATCGGATGAAGATGTAAAGGCGAGGATTAGCAAAGCAAGGGCAGCATTTCTACAATTGAAGAATATATGAAACTCAAAACAACTGTCAACTAACTTCAAAGTGAGTATCTTCAATACGAACATCAAGACATTTATATTGTACGGAGATGAAACATGGAGAACTACTACATCCATCATCATGAAGTATTTATAAACAGTTGTTTACGCAAATTACTCGACATCCACTGACCGGATTCTATCTGCAACAGCGTTTTATGGGAGAGGACAAACAGCTTCCAGCTGAAGAGTAAATTAGGGAAAGACGTAGGAAGTGGATCGGACATACATTAAGGAAATCACCAATGTGCATTACAAGGTAATCCCTAACTTGGAATCCTGAAGGGAAGTGGAAAAGAGGAAGGTCAAAGAACACACTACGCCGGGAAATAGAAGCAGATATGAAAAGGATGAGTGTTAACTGGAAAGGATTGTCCAGGACAGAGTTGGATGGAGAATGCTGGTGTGTGGCTTATGCTCCTCCGCGAGGGTTAATAGGCGTAAATAAATAATCAATTAATGAATTCGATAATAAGAACCAATTTGGTCTAATCGTAAACGGATCGACAACGAATGTAATAGCTACAGTTCGAAACTTAATGCTTTTTAAGGGCCATGGATCTGGTTCTCAATTTGGTCGTATGAATGGTTGATTGTCAAAATATACATCCTGTCTATCCTCGTACATAATAAATAACTTAATCCGCGTTGATGAATAACGGAGTTAAATAAGTCAAATACGAGAATAGATTTTGAATACATATATTTTGTATACTCATTGATCTGGACAGGAAATCAGAGCCATGAAGCGAAGAGAAAATGACACGCATTGAAGATGGCGGGTAAGCCAATTCGTTTTAATCAAGCGTTAATCAACATTTATAGTCAGATAAAAATAAATTACAGACATGTGAAAAATAAGATAAAAAGTGTTCACACATATAAGCTAATATAAAAACAGTCAGGGTTAATAAGTGAATAATTAACACAGTCAAACGTGATTCAAGATGTATAGGTAAATTGGCTTGTCCAGAAGTTAGAATAAGGTATATGAGTTCAACTTATCAACTGACACTATAACTTCATTGAGTCATTGAACATTGTAAAGCATTAATACGTAGCAAAAATATCACTATTCACACATTTTTTTACAACCTATCATTACAATGAAAAGGTAGTTGAAGGATTTGTGCTGATCGGTCGATGTTAGGTGGTTTCGTATTTCATAAAAAAGGTGTATGATATCATAACCAAGCGCTGAACCTCGATTGTTTTCAAGACTTTGGGACCAAAATTGATGATAAGTTAATCGGAAACCAGCCTGAAAGTAAGTTACAGTTCCCGAGTTGTTTGTCAGAGTTATATTTAACTGAAACGATTTAAAGTTACTTTCGTATCCAAT